CGGAACGTACGGAGTTGGTACCGTCGCCTCGTCAATACCCTCCCTACGAGGCCGACGTCTCCTCGAACGAGCCCTCCCTCGTGTGCCGTCGCGAGTTGTTGTGTGTGTGTGTGTGTGTGTGTGTGTGTGTGTGTGTATAATGGGAAGGGGTTCACATGTCCCAAGCCACAGCAAGACACTCTGGGCCTCTGATATTTTCACACACAGGCCCTACCACCAATTAACGTGGACTCTGGGCAAGCCACACTTTCTTTCTAGATCTCAATTTTCTTACCAGTAAAAACCCCAGGGGCCTCCCAGGGAATCATAGGTGGGACAGGGTCTCCATGAAGCTACTTTGAAATTGTGTGTGTGCATGTTTTTCAGAGGACAGTTCCGTAACTTTTATTAGATTTGCAAGGGAGACCATGACCCCACAAAATGGTTGAGTCACAAGGCCACATAATGGATACAGCCTTCCAGCCCTAAAATCCTGACTGTATGATTCTCTCCCCTGTCCCTTTCCTGCCCCTCCCACCCCCTCTCCCACCAGTCACTCCAGAAACGAGGGTCACTGAGCAGAAGGAGCCGAGTTTCCAGGTGGTTGGATTGTGTAGGGACAGAGGGATGATGTAACCTTCCCTCTGTGTGCCTCATTTCTCACTGAGGGTGATTGTGTGGCTGGCTGGGTGCACCTTGGTCTCCTTCTGAGTCTCCTACAGTCCTTGGGGCCCAGAACCAGGAAGCCCAAGCAGGGGAGTGAGAGCCAGCATCTGAGAGGAGTGCCTGGGGGAGGAAGTGTCAGGGGCAGGAGACAGAGGGGCCTTGGAGCTAGCTCCCTCAGCCCTGGGAGCAAGGCAGCCGGATGGAATAATCTGAGCATCCGGTTGGAAGAGGGCAGCAGCAGGCTCCCCAGGGGAATCCTGGTTACATCCTGGTTACCAGCTCCAAGGACGCCCAGGCTGGAATGTGGCCTGGGCCTCAGATCCCGTAACTCTCCAGTCCCTAAACCTGATGTCCCTGCAAGCATCCCACATGGTCACCCCAAGTGTGGGAGGTGGGGAGGCCGCCAGGAACCAGAGCTGTGCCAGGCATTCTCTGGGCCCACCATTGGTCCTGAGCCAAGTGAGGGTGCAATGAGTCCCTCAGGGAGCTCTCCGATGGGGTCCTCGGAAAGGCCCAGGGTTACGCCATGGGCTCTCTGCTGTTCCCAGTCTCACATATGCCCGCCTGGACACTCTCCATGCAGCACCTCACATGCTTACATTCCCACTGGAGACCTTATAAGGCCAGACACAGGTGCTTTCGCCCCACCTGGGCACACAGTGACACGTTCTGCTCCCAGAGCTGCCCTGCAGTCTAGTGAGCAGGCCAAGCACTGAGAGGCTGAAGCAGCCCATCTGGAAGGCAGAAGCACCCTTCGAAGCTGATTCCGAGGACCACCTGTTCCCATGCCTCTCATCCTAAACATCAGCAAATGTTGATGGGCACCTGCTGTGTGACAGCTTCTCTGTCCCCCGGTGACCCCTCCTTGTGATGGGATATGGAGGCTAGGGGAGCTTGCCTTGCACTCCAAAGGCCATTCCCACATGTCCCCGCTCTGGATTCCAGCCGCTGCTGAAAAAGCAGCACTTGGATTGGAGAGAAACGCAAGTCACAACCGTCCTTTCCTCTAAAGAGGACAGGAGGGAGGAAGCTGGAACCCAGGGGAGATTGGAGAAAGAAATTAGGGACAGGGGACCTGGAATAACCCGCCCATATTTTAGCTGAAGGAGGACAGGATATGGGGAGCTTTCAGGAATTGAGGTGCCCAAGTGGCAAAGCTGAAGAGAAACATCACAACTCGGAGCAGGGACATCTGAGGGCTGAGGGCATCCCTCCACACCCGACTAACAGAGGATTCCAGCCCAGTAGGAGGATCCGCCCCCACCACGCCCAGGGAACTCTCCCCTCTCGGCTGCGGGCTTCCCCGACCCGCCCTCGGAGTCTTCACTTGGCCCGACTCCTGCCTCAGTCCCCGACGCCTCCTCTCCAGCCCTGCCTTCTTCCAGGTGATCTGATTCAATGCCCCCATCCCAATTTCTCCTTCGAAGGACACGTTCTTCGTGTCAAGGCACTGGGACCCAGCCTTGTCTCCTTCGGTCTCTCCTTATGGCCCCAAGGGACTTGGCTTCCGCGGCGGGTCTCAAATCAGGGGCGGATGCGGGTCTGGGTGGATCCGGGTGGGTTCGGGATGGAGAGCTGGGGCCGCAGTTTCTCAGACCGAACCCACCGACCGACAGTCGGGAGACTTGATCTGCATGCCACCGCGGGAGCGCGGCGCAGACACACTCTTGGCGGGCACTCGCGTTTCAAAGACAGCAGGGCAGACACTGGCTCCCCTCCCCTGAACACGCCCCCTCCCCTTCCCCCCAACTCCTCACCGCCCCCCAACGCCCCGCGCTCCACCTTTCGCCTGGCTCCTCCCTCGGCTCCTGCCAGCACCCTCCCTCGCCGCCCGAGTGCCCTTCCTCTTTACCTCCTCTCCCTCCCCCACCCCCCCCCCCTTCTCCCCCACACTCCTCTCTTCCCCTCTTCCCTCCCCCCGTTCCTTAGCTCTCACTTATCATCACCTACTACAGTCCAGTCGTGCCTCCCGACGGTCACCAGCCCGCCTAACCCGCTGGGCACACTCATCACTCCAGGGCACCCTGACCCAGACCTCCCCTACCGGGTGCCCCGCTGCTCTCCTCCCGCTTCCTTGCTCCCCTCCCCCTCCCGGGTGCCGCTTCCCGGCTCCCGCTCCCTCCGCGTCTTTTCCTTTCCCCTCCCCGCGAAGTTTCGGGGCTGTCAGTCTGTCAGTCTTCGGGCAGTCCGCACCCGAGCTGCAGACAGCGGGCGCCATCGAGAGCGGAGCCCGCTGGGGGCGGGAGGTCCGGGCGCCCGGGTCCGGGCAGCAGCGGGGAGACCCGGCCGGCCGCCCGCTGGGTACCGGCCGCAGAGGTTCTCAGGGCCGGCGCTCCGCCGCTTCCCC